GGCAGCAACCACCTTTCTGGGCAACCTCGGCCAGTGGCTCACCTGCAGTGTAAAAAAATTCTCACTTCATTTTAGCACTTTTTTAGGGATTCTCAAGACACCTTTGGAGTCCTGAGATGCCACCAGAAGGTCTCCCCAGCTGGAGCCTTCTCCTCTGCAGGCTGCCCAAGCCCAACTCTCTCCTGCTGGGCTCCCAGCAGAGGGGTTCCCCCCTCGGCTCATTGCTGGGGCTGCTCTGGCCCCGCTCCAGCAGGTCCCTGTCTCTGCTGTGCTGAGGACTCCAGAGGTGCCCCAGCACTGCAGGGGGGTCTCCCCAGAGCAGGGTAGAGGGGCAGGATCCCCTCCCTGCCCTGCTGCCCACCAGGCTGGGGGTGCAGACCAGGCTGACAGGGGCTTCCGGGCTGCAAGAGCCCATTGCAAGCTCCTGTCCAATTTTTACTCACCAGTGTCTCCAAGCCCTTGTTTGCAGAGCTGGAGACACTTGCCTTCCTGACAGGTGCTTCTCACTTGCTGCTCAGAGGAGCTTGAAGAGGCAGAAGGTCATGAGGCTGAAAAAGGGTCTGGTGAAGGGTCTTGTCCCTGAGCAAGATTTGCAGAGCACAACTGATTCCTGTGTCCCTGAGTAGGAATATCGCAGGCTGACACATGGCTTATCCCCAAAAGAGCGACCCAGAAGGTGAGGAGAGTAGCAGGTGGTCCCTAAAATCCACAGCACCCTGTCCCCAGACCTGTGCTACCTCTGAGGAGGACAGCTTCTCCCTTTAGCCAGGTCTGTTGTCTAGTTGAAGTTGTCCTTGCTCACTGCACAGGGCTTGGACTATATGACCTTTCAAGGTCCCTTCCAAACCAAACTGCTCTATGATTCTATGAAAAAGTCAGTGCTGCTTCCCCACGCAGCCCGGAATTTGCTACTCTGCCATTCATCTGGTCCATGCACATCCCATTTCTGTGTGGTCATGCTGCAGGAAGTCAGCAGCCATACTTGCCTGCTGTGCTTTTGGTCAGAGGTTGTCTCCTTCCTGTGCCTTGATCTTTGCTGTACAGTGGGTGAAACAAGAGACAGCAGCAGAGTGATGCCCCAGGGCCAGGAGGTGCTGGGAGGCAGCTTTGGTAGTGACCCTGCTTGTAGGGAGACAAATCCCTGCCTTGCTGCAAAGTCTCTGGTAAGCAAAGAATTGCTGGCCAGAGACCTCATTTAAAAGAATGAAGCTGGGCTCGTGGGAAAGAGAAGAGGAAAGCTTTGTAGATGCCTGGTTTTGACTTTTCCCCCGTGGTGTTTTTCATCTGTGCATGAAAAGCTTCTTGTCCACAAAGTCCCTGTGCTGCTTGCCAGTGCCTTCCTTCACCTCTGCCTTTGCTCCCAGTAAGCTGATGTCCCCACCCGTGGCTCTCAGTCTAGACCTGAGCCACAGAAAGGCCATCCTGAGGAATTAGAGCCACAGAGCAGGGGCATGGGCATAACTGGGTGGGTGAGCAAGATGTTCAGAGCAAGGACAGGAGGCCCCAAGGAGTGGTGCAGGGAGGGTAGGTGAGAACTGGGCTAGAAGTGCATCTTCAGCCCACGAGGACAATTTTCCAACATCCATCTTCCGTGCTGCTGCAGGGAATCAGGCAGACTGCCTGTGCACACACAGGTCGCTCCCTCAGTGCTGGGTGGAAACACAGGGACACATGTCCTGGTGCTCCCAAGTGAGCAAAATCAGTTTTGTTTTCATGCCAGTCACCACCCCCTCCTGTGAGGGCCAGCACTGAGCTTTGTCCTGTGTCGGTACAGCCTCCTGATGTGGTTTCTTAGAGAATCACAGCTCAGGAGCTGGTACTGCTGCAGTGTCAGGCAGAGACACAGGATGTAAATTGGTAGGAAATTAGGGCTCCATCATTCAGGGAACTCTTGGCTTCATGGGAGAATTAAATGGCTGTGTAATGACTGTTCAGTGCACATTGCATGTTCTCTCTGCCCAGTCACAGTGGAGGCATTTATTACTGCTCTCAGCTATAGGTTTTGCTTCTCGTTTGACCCATGCTGCTTAGAATATTTTTTCCAGCGTTATTTGACTCATAAAACCCTCTCCGGGCCAGATAAACAATCAATTTAGGGAATAATTAGGGAGTAACACCAATGGCAGTGTCTAAATACACCAGAAAAGGGGTAAAGTCCTTCCCCTTGGACTCATCTGCTCCAGGGTCAGCTGTGGATATTCAGAGGGAAGGGGATGATAACACAGGAGAGTCTGGCCTCAGATTTCTAGGTCTGGCCTTGCACTTTTCTCACCAACTGAATATTCTTCATTCTAATGACCAAATGGTATCACTAGAGAGGGCAGGAATTTGAGCCATCAGTCCCCAAAAGAAAATGGCAGTGAAACACTATCAGAGTGCAAAGCTGACAGTCTCAGATGGCTTTTCTGCCCCTTGAGCTCAGCTCTAAATCATCTGCTTCTCCATACACTGTGATCCAAACACCCTGAGATAAGGTGTTCAGGTCTATGGTGTAGAAGTGGCCTGGTAGAGAGAGATAATGGTTGGACTCAATGATCTTAAAGGTCCTTTCCAACCATTGTGATTCTGTGATTCTGTGATCTGCTCCTTTCTTCCTTTTGCTGAGTTCCTCACATGAGGGTGATGATAGTTATGTCGCCGTGAGGTGTTTCAGGCTTCTGGACTGCAGACAGTCCACAGCCTCCAGCACTCTTTTTTTAAGATGACAGTGGGACAGATAGGGCCTTCTCTTCTCCCAGAGCTCTCCAACAAACACCAATTTGTTCCCAGCAGAGCTGACCATCATCTTTTCACTGCTGGATGCTGTCCTCACTGGGCAGCAGTTTGGCATCATCAGTGCCATGAATCACAAGCCCAGTGATGACCCCATATCTCAGGTTGTTTCAGTAGGTCCATGTGCATCCATGAAGTGCTGGAGGTAACTGTTTCCTCTCTGGTACATGCACTGGGTGTTTTGGAGCTGTTTCAGGTGTCTGCAAAGACATGGCAGTGCCTGAATGCACATTTTGTTTCTTTCCCTGCAGAGCTGAGCTCTTCTAAAAGCTCTCCAGAGGGCACTGGTACTCTTTGGGGATCAGTAATGTTAAGTCTGGGCTGGGAGGCAGGAAGGCAGTTCTCAGGATGTCTGCAGGGACGGAGGTTTAAAGGATGGTGAGAAATACTGATTCTTCTGTAATCCCAGCTGGGTGTAGGGGCGGGAGAGAAAACATGGAGCAGTAGTGGGAAAGGGATTCTGAACAGGTAATGTCGGGTTTTGGGTGGGGGTGAAGAATCAGCCTTAAGCTTGTAGGGCATCATCTCCGTGGCACCTTCCATATTGCAATGTCCACCCTTCACTTGGCAGAAGAAGTGCTCAGAAACACCTCCTTTGTGGAGGTTTCAGCCTGGTGCTTTAGCTCCAGACTGTCTCCACGTGGAGCCTCCTCAACCATACCCTCTACATCTTTCTGTTTCTTCACTTTGTCCTTTCTAGTGGGCTGAGGAGGGTAAGCTCCACAGAGTTCTGCTTTGGAGGTGAATCTGTCCTTGACACCTCCTTGGCTTTTAGTCTCAGATCCTCCAGATCTGGTCAGTCACAGTGGAACTCCTAAGAAAGGCAAGGAACAGGGAGGGAGTGATATGAAGCAAGAAATCAAATCTTGCCTCCTTCAAGATGACTCTCATCTGTCTGGTCTGATGACACAAATGTGGTTTGTCCACATAATTTGAAATTGGAGATGCTATTCCATAAAAACTCTCCCCTTTGGGCTGGGCATGTAGAAATCTTTTCCACTTCCCCTTCTGAGAGCCCTCAAGATGTGTTTCCCATCAGCAGCATCTCTTTCTGATTTGGGCTCTTTCAATGAGGGCTTTTATTAGCAGCGGTGTCCACCATTCATGGACCTCTGATGTGGAGTTCTGAGCATCCCCAGAAAGTCCAGCATCCTTTTGACTACATTGCCAGGAGATCAACTTGTACTTGATGCTTGGCATAGAGCCTTCTGGACAGATAAAGGACTATGAATGAAGGACATGACCGTGTCCTTCTGAAGGGAAGAGTAAGGTGGACAAATCCTTGTTAACCTGTGGATAACATGCAGTTCTTCAATCTGACAGACTCCCCACAGTTATGAAGTCTTCTCACTGTATCAGTAGACGCCCTTTGGTGTCTTTAAAGGTCCTAGTTTGAAATGTAGATGCAGAAAATAGTCAACATCCTGCTGTGCCTTAAATGTAGGAATGGGGACACTGAGTTTACAAAGTGCTGACCTTTTTTCAGTGATATATTGGTAACCTGAAACGAAGCACGTTTGCCTTTATTCCGAAGTAAAGAATTTGTATGTCTTTGGTTTGCTGCAGTAACTTTCCAATAAAATGAGATACTACTTATAACACATTATTTCCAATAAATAAAGTTGGTTTTCTCAAGCAAACCATGAGTTTACCTATTTCTTTCTTTCTCTCTCAACTTTTTCTTTTTTCCTGAACCCTTTCCTAAAAACAAAACCAAAGGAGACGCAAAACCTGTTTCTTACCATGTCCTTCAATTTTTTCTTTACGTTTCCCAGCAGATGAAGGAAAGGGGAGACCTTGTAACCCTCAGTGTTTGGGAACTTTCTCAAGTTCTACCAATCAGAGAGTTGCTGAGAAGTTCCTACTTTGACCTGAGATGCGATTGCTAGACGTCTAGCTCTTTTTCCAAACAATTTTTCTTCCCCCAACAGAGCAAAAATGGCTTCTCTGGGTATTCCTGGGTTTGAAACCTCATGTTCTGTGGCTCTGGCCATGATGATAGGGATGAGGAGCAATATGGCTCTTCATACAGACCCTCCAGGTACGCAGAGTTTCTGGATATTCAGAGAGAAGGGAAAGCAACAGCCAGATGTCCACCCTGACCTTGTCCCTTGTGTCTCCACGTAGAGCATTTCCTGCTGCAGTGAAAACAAGAGTGTCCCTACATGAAGGACACTCAGCAGATGAGGCACCTGGACAAGTTCATCTGGGACTGGCAGGAAAGCTGTTCCTACAACTTTAAGGTTGGTGTCTGTGGTTGGAATGGCCAGTTGCTGAGTAGTGAAACAGGCTGCAGTGCCGTGGCTACCTGTGGACTTCAATACAACAGCTGTAACTGGAAGAGGACAGAAGTCAGTGTTTGGAAGGAAGAAGAGGAGAGTGGCATGGGGAAACTTGGCTTCCCCAGCCTGAGACCACAATTAACCCTCTCTGCCACCTTCCTCTTTGGCAGCCACTGAATGCTAGAGGAGCTTACTGGACGGTGGAAGCTAGGCCTGAGTTCAGTGGGGCAGAAGGAGAATGATTGTCGTGGACCAGAGCAGTTTCTCTCTTTATTATGGCTCTAAGACTGAAGGGAATGACTTGAAGGAGCTCTGCAGAAAAGTATGAAACAGGACTTCCACCTCCCCTCCTGTCAACTCCTTTAGCAGTGGACCCATGTGAGCGATGAGGGAAGACTTGAAATGCTCCAACTAGATGTTTCTGGTAGAAGCAGAATTCATCTGTGATGATCTTCACTGAGGGAAGAAAGAAGGAGGACTAAAAGTGAATGTGGCTGGGGGACATGTCATGCAAAGTCATGCTGAAGGCAGTGGTTCTGGACCAAAGGATGGGTTTGAAGAGAAATCTGTATGATGTCATAAAATCATTTGGGTTGGAAAAGACCTGTAAGATCATTGAGTCCAACCATTAACCCAGCACTGCCAGGCCACCACTAATCCATGTCCCTCAGCTCCACATCTACACATTTTTTAACCCCCTCCAGGGATGGTAACTCCACCACTGCCCTGAACAGCCTGTTTCAGGGCTTGACAACACTTCTGGGGAAAATAGTTTTCCTCATATCCATCTTTAAACTCCCCTTGGCACAACTTGAGGCATCCATAGGTCCCGTTGCTGGAAATCGTTCCTGAGGAAGATTGGCCAATGCTCTCCATCTCCCTCTTTTTCAGTCAGAGTGAAAATTTCTCCCATGCAAACAGAGCCATGGTGCAATCCCAACTAGATGGTTTGTTCTGCAACAAGTTTTTTTCCTTCTGAAATAAATATCGAGTGGTTCAAAAATGAGCAGGAGGGTATTAACAAAATTGTGTATAAGGACCTCCTCCTAAATCGAGATTAGTCTTTCCAGATCCTGGTCACTTTGGAAGTCATGCCTAAGCAAGGGGATATCTGTGCTTGCTGGGTGGAGCATGTCAGCCTGCCAGTGCCCACCACCATGGCCAACGGGAAATGGTGAGATCAGAACGTCCTGAGGAGAGTCACTTCTAGCTCTATGGGGACAGCAGGAAACTAGAAAAGGTAATTTGGGGGAAAGCAACGTCTAGCCTAGACCATTACTCTCTGGACTGACCTTTCAACAGAAACATGCTATGGATCTGCTGTGAGCAAGAAGATGACTGGAACGCTGGGTTCTGTGCTCAGTTTAGACTTCACCATGGTGGTACTTGTCATCTATCCTCAGAAAAAGAAAGGTGAATTATTCATGAGCTAACTAGAAGCCCGTTCTTAATGGGGCTGCAGAGAGATGTTTTAAAGCCTGTACAGCATCACTAGAATTTAGATTCACCATGACAATTTCCTTGAGTTCCCAGCACTCAAGTGGGTTTTATATGATCTAATGCAATATCCATAGAAGCCAGTGATAGCTTTTAATTTATTTTAGCTGATGTTAGATTGGGCTTTCAGTGATGAGAAGCCTTTTTAGAAGTATCATCAGCTGCTGAACGGTCAGCCCAGTCCTCTGAGATACAGTCCTAGGCTATGGTTATGGTTTGTTATGAGGATCAAATTAGGTACTTCATTCCCAAATGTCTCCACATTGCTTTGTTGCAGACATATTTTGTGGAGTCTAGAAGCAAATACTTTCATACTTATTTATGGAAGGATTAAATACCTTTCTATTGAAACTGTGCAGGGGAAAGAAGAGAGAACATTATCTTCCAGAAAATTGCATTCTTGTTCTCAAATTGTTGGTTTGCAGAGTAACAGCATCTTATTTCAGCCTTCACTTTCTGCTTTCCAATAATTTAAGATTATTAGAATCACAAACAAGTGCTGGGCAAGTCATTATTTTGTGATATCTTCCATGGTTCAATGAGGAATATCCCTCACCTTAATCCTGTACTCTCCTAAGCAAACTCTCTTAAGCAAACCTCACCCAATGTAGTCCTGTGCTGCTGTTAATTCTTAGCCTATGGGTTTAGGTCACCAAGATCAGGAGGACTTGACTTCCTTGCCCGCGATCACAATTAGGGAAGAGAAAATTTGATGCTGAAAATGCTGAAACTCCCTTCCTTAGGCCCAAACATCATTTTTTCCAGTGAACTACAATGAGAACAGTGAACATATTTGACTCTATAGGAACCAGTTCTCCAGCCTGCCCAGAGCAGGCTTGTTGCATCTGTGATGTTCAGTGACCCTCACTATCCAAGGAATAAATACATTGTGGTAGGTTTCCAAGCTCATCTCAGAAGCTGGATACCTCTGCTATCAATAAATCCCTTACCAGAACAGCCTCTGGCAGGGCTGCCATGGGCTTTCTGAAGCTCAGCTGGTCCCATGGGTCTTAGCAGTTCTGTGTGGTGGCTTAGCACAGGACCACCATGTACTTGGAGATGACAAGGAGAAGGAGCAGGCTGGCTGCACTTCCAAGTCTTCAGAGCAGAGATGCAGCCATGGACTGTTCAGATGAAAATGGAAATAGGAAAATCTTTGGGGTGAACACAGAAGACTCTGCTAACAGGAAGCTGGAGGAGTTTTTCCTGTCCCTCAGCCTAGCTGGCATGATGACTAACAATGCTTCGAAGCCCGTACGAGAAGTTCCTCCACCCATTTCTGTTCTTTTTTTCCTTGCCGTGCCTGTCTGCTGCAGCTGTAGAGAAAAGTGACATGGAGAACGACACACTGCTGAGTGATTAAGTCCACAGCAAACTTCTGTGCATCTATTTCTGTCTCTCAGATTTGAGAACAACTGCTGCTCCTCTTGGTGGATGAAAAGCTGGCCAGGAACCGGGCCCATGAACCTGCAGCCCAGAAGCCCCCGGCAGCCTGGGCTGTCCCCCCAGCCTGGTGGGCAGCAGGGCAGGGAGGGGATCCTGCCCCTCTGCCCCGCTCTGGGGAGACCCCCCTGCAGTGCTGGTGCAGCTCGGGAGTCCTCAGCACAGCAGAGACAGGGACCTGCTGGAGCGGGGCCAGAGGAGCCCCAGCAATGAGCTGAGGGGGGAACCCCTCTGCTGAGAGCCCAGCAGGAGAGAGTTGGGCTTGGGCAGCCTGCAGAGGAGAAGGCTCCAGCTGGTGAAACCTTCTGGGGGCCTGCCAGGACTTAAAGGTGGCCTAGAAGAAGGACAGGGACAGACTTTTTAACAGAGACAGTGACAGGACAAGGAGTGATGATTTTAAATTAAAAGAAGGAGGTTTAGACTAGATACAAGGAAGATTTCTTTTATGCTGAGGGTGGTGAGCCCCTGGCCCAGGTTGCCCCAAGAAGTGATCGCTGCCCCATCTCTGGAACCATTCCAGGTGAGGTTGTCCGGGGCTCTGAGCAACCTGCTCTAGTTGCAGATGTCCCTTCTCCCTGCAGGGGGGTTGGACTAGATGGCCTTTAAAGTCCCCTTCCAACCTAAACCATTCTAGGATTCTTTAATTCTCTTTCCTTTCCCCCCGCTATTCCCTTTCCTGCTGCTGTTTCCTGTGTTAGCAG